TGAAAGTTTATTTAAAATGCATTAAATAATTATTGAAAATTATTAGAATATTTTGGAAATTTTATGAAAATTTCTTACATTTGATAGATTTTGGAAAACCATTGAAAATTTATGTAATTTTCATTGCAAATTATTGAAAATTATTAAAGATAAATGACTATGGGAAATGGAAAACTACAATTTGAACAAATAATTACACAAATTATTAAGATAAATTAGTATAGTATTGGAAAAAGGAAATTATTGGTTAGTTATTATTAAAAATTATAAGATAATTTAGTATAATTATGTAAGTAAATTGTTTAAAAAGAAAATAAATTATTTAATACAAATTAAATAAATTTGAATAAATTTTCAAAATTACACAAGTACAATAAGTTTTTCAAGATTTTCATAAAATTACATTTTTGAATATTAAAGACAATTTAATGTATTTTTAGAAATTTACCATGTGGTTGATACTCAATATATCATTTTGATAATTTCAATCATCAAATTGAATATTGGGTTGACGGGGATAGTGTTTTCAAAACTGGATCGAACCAGAGGGTTAGACCGGAAAAATTGGGAACCGGACAACATTTCACCTCAAAACCGCTTTTTGTCCAAAAACCGTTTATTTGGTTAGCAAACCACTAACCTGGGCAGTCGAACTGTTAACCCAGACAATAGTTTTTGGCCTTTTTTGTTTTTCTAATTTTTTATTTTTTTGTCAAAGCGGGTCATCCGTTCGGACCGAATAGTCGGACCATTTGACTCCATAACGGTTCCCTATCCGATCCAATTTTAAAAACCTTGGACGGGGAGTGGGTGCCTTGCCTTGAGCTTGGCTTGGTGTGCAGCATGGCCTAGCCCAAGCCCCAACCCATGGACCAACCCGACCCACGGCACGGCATGGGCCCATGTAGGCTTGGGCTGTAGGCCGTGCTAATCTGACCTCCTAAATTATCTTAGAGGAGGGAGGCACGGCCCAGGACACCTTGTGGGCCAACATGGCACGACTTGCACTTTGTGTGGGCCACATGTGGGTCAGGTCGTGCCAACCCAACATGACTCAATTTATACCTCTACTTGAACCCACCCAATATTGGGGATAGGGTAGGGAAATTCAAGGATTCTCCATCCTTGATGAGGAGTGGGGTGCCTTGCCCCATAAACTTGCTCGACATTGAGGAGTGGTTACCTTGCACTGAATCCGCATGACACTAGGGATGGGATAGAGTGTCTTGACTATGCGGTAGGGAAAGGGATGGGGTGCCTTGCCTTGAACCCACCCTGTTGTCATTCCTATATAGTTGTTAATTATTAGTGGAATTAATAAAAATGTTAGCTTTTAAAATTATTTTTATTTATTTAGAGTTAATAAAAAATTCATTTAAAATTAATAAAAAGAATAAAAATTACTACAAATTATTAATAAAACTAAATTTATTAAAAAATATTTGTTCATTTTCAATTAAAAATAATTATTTTTATAAATCAATATTAAATGAAAAATAAAATTATTAAATCTTTTAGATTTTCCCGTGCATCACATGGGTCCCTACTAGTATATATATAAATCTAAGCCCTTCAATACACAAACCGAAATAACAATCTAAACCCCTTTGATACCATCTTTTTCTCCGAACTTCTTTAAGAAGAGGCTAGGGGTGCTCATAGTTAGGTTAATCGAATCGTGGGGTTTTTTTAACCGAACTGACTTAATTGGTTTTTTAAATATCCGAACCAAAATGAACCGTTGCAACCGGTTAACCAGTGGACCGGTTAACTACGATTCGGTTTTTCGATTTTTTATGCATTCAAAATAAAAAAATACCTAAAAGAGGTGGCGATTTGCCGATGCCGAACTGGTTAGAGCCAGTGGTTGTTGTCGGCTATTGCCTGAAGTGAGAGCCTGAGAGGTAGCGCTTGGCGGAGCCGTAGAGAGGAGAGATGAGAGGGAAGAGAGAGATAGAGATACAACGTTGGTGCTTGCTTGCCAACGAGGCGGCGACTAGTGTTGGCACAGGCTGTGTAGCGAAGATGACAGGTGAGAAGAGAGAGACAGAGATACAGACTCACTTAGTCACAAAGAAGAGAGAGATAGAGACAGAGACACTAGGGGAGAGCTAGAGAGGCCGTCGGTCGAAGGACAACCGACGCTAGAGGAAAGCAAGGGGAACTGTGGTGCCGACTGTCGAATTGGCCACTTGGGATTAAGGAAGACGAAGACTCGAAGAGAGACTAAGAGAGTGAGAAACAGAGAAATGCTAAAAGGGCATTAGGTTTAGGTTTCGAAGAACTGCCGTGGTTTTTTACTTTTTTTTTTATTTTAAAAATAAAAAAAAATATAATATAATATATATTACTATATATATACCGGTCAGTTCGGTTAACCATTGGTTTTTTAAATGGTTACTCGAAACCGAACCAAAATTGTTAATTTTTTTAAGAATATCAAATCGAAACCGAACCGACTGGTTCGGGTAACCGATTTTTCGGTTTTTTTTGCTCACCCCTAGAAGAGGTAGACAACTAGACTGTGAACTTCAGATAAAACTGCAAATATCTTGGTAGAAGATCCAGCCTATGCTAAAGCCTTTCCTTTTAAGAACGGAAATCTCAACCGGGATTGGAAAAATGTCATGAAACGTGGGCGAGAAATCCAAGAGAAATTAAGAAATAAAATTATTTATTGGAAAAATAAGGCCATGTTTGGTTCAACTCTCATTCTTTCTCATTCTTAGCCAAGATGAAATTCTAAAATGGACAAAAATGGGTAGAATGAAAAAATATTGATATGAACCAAACACTTTTTTTTTTCTTGAAAAATGAATCATTTTCAAACTAGCAAATGCCTTATGTTGCCCTTGCCCTTGCCCTTACCCATTTTCATTCTTAAAAAATTTGTGTAAGCGATCATAAACCACCAGCCTAGGTCCCCAAAAATGTTGGCATAGATGTTTACTAGTGGGAGTGGAAGGCCAATGGTCAATGTCCGCCAGCATAAATAAAATTCCATGACAGTCTTCCAATAAATATTTATGGCGGTGGTTTTATATACCTAAGCTTACATTTTATGACTACTAGTATAGGGTTTCTTTAAAGAATGGAAATGATTAAGATTGGGCAAAATTACTTATATCATGTTGTAGGTTACCTCAATTTTTGTGCTATGATTATTTATTCTTGCCCATAATGAGCAAGAAATAAAAAACGAGGTGAACCAAACATATATGGCCCAAGTCTGAGCGGGAAAAATGTGAAATAGTGGTATGTTTTGAAATTTTGAAGAATAAATAAGGGCAAAATAATCTTTTTGTCAGTTTAACAAGACTTACGGCTATGTTTGGTTTGAAGAGGTAGGTAGAAAGGTTTCCCTACCTTTCCCTTCCTTTCGCTACCGTTTTCCTTCAAACCCAACTTATCCTAACGGAAACCCAAAACTTCAGGGGTAATTTTTAAGTAGGGTGTGAGTGTGAAACCTTAGGGTAGTTCGAGTAATTGTCAGAACCCCAGGGGTGAGTTTTGACTTTTGAGTTTTGACACGAGTTGGGTGCTCTTGGGTTGGAGCGGATGGAAGATCCGTGGTCTGGGGGCTCATTAATTTCTGAGCGCTCTATCTGTCTCCCATTTTTTCTCGCCATTACCTCCGATTCTCCGAAACCCGCTGAACAACGACTCCTGTCTCTCTCACTCGGCTCACTCCCTCCATCCCCTTTATCAATGTACTGTAATAACAAATGAACTTTTCTCCACGAATGCTGTGTCTCATCCCGACGAACGACCAGGTATGGTCTCCATCTCCACTTTCTTTAAGGTTATTGGGTTCTACATTTTTCTTTTTCTGAATATTGAGCGTGCATCTCTGTTATATTCCGATTCACCAAAGTTAAGAAGCCCATTTTCTGTTATTTGTTAGTTTGTTATTCATTCTCTCGCTTCAAAGTTCAGTTTCATTATGTCATGTTTGTGCTCTCTTTACTTCGGTTGTATGAACATGAATTTCCATTGATGTCCTTGCTTTTGTCCTTGTATTGAGTTCAGACTTCGAACTTTTCTGAGGTTGGTATCGTTTGTTTCTTAATTTATTTCTGTAGGTTCATGTTTGTGTAGTGTGTGTGCAGGGGGTTATTCGGAATGGCTTTTGTTGCTTATCTGGTTAATTTTCCTTATAGGACTCATAGTTTTAGTTGTAGAAACCTAATAGCTCATATTTATTCTGCTGCTAGTTGAAACAAATGTCCATTCATTGGTTTCTTCTCTTTATTTCGCTCTTTGGTCAGGTTGGATATTAACTCTGGGTTTTGCCTGTTTTAGGCCTACTCCTTTTTTTGATCAGGAGGTTCTCATCATTCCATTGACTGGTTTTCTGCTTGTGGAAATAATTTGTTATAGTTATCTAGTTGTTTAAACCGAAGTGCTTATAATCAGTCCATTGACTTCTACCAACCTCACACATGTTATCATAGAATTACTTGCTTTCAATCTTCAATTTTCTCTTTATACATTGCCTCTGTAGCTGTCTACATTCAAGACAAAGTTTTGCTTCATTGCATCATTGGCATGCCATGAGTTATTCATATTTGATACTTTTAATCCAAAGACCATCTGCACTCTAGATCTGATACAACAGTTGGTTGAGATAGTTAATTTATTATTTACTTTGTTTTTTCAGAAATTAGGCTATTCTGGAACTTCACCCTAATAATTTTAAAATTCAGTCCAAAGATGGTACTTAATGGAATTTCTGTTTAAGCTAGCATGCTTCTGTGGTAGGTTTGACTCTTCTATGCAAATCATTTAGAGATAACACTATTTAGAGAACCATATTTTTATGAGTAGTAAACCCATTGCCCAAATACCTCCATTCCAAGTTTGTGGCGGAATAAATAAGGTGATGTCTAGAAAAGTGATGGTATATCAGAGACCATATCTCTCACATGATTACTGCTCTCTCTACAATTGGTGAGATAAGAATTCCAGAAGTTTTGGTTGACACGTTCTCTTTTTGATAAGTTCAAGATGCCTAATTGTGGATCATGCAACATGATATATGCAAAGCAGATTTTATAAGGTTCAGGGTGCTCCAGAACCAAGGTCCATGAAACCAGAAGGAAACTAGCAAATGGATGAGTGCATATCCGTTTGGAGTAATATGGACATAGCTTACTTGGGAATAGAGTGATAATGCATTAACCATGAAATGTCTCCCCAAGATCTTGAAAGGTGGTTCAGCTGTTTTTGAGTGCTAATTGGATAACCAAAGAAGCATTCCCCTCTTGCCAGCAGATATCTGTAATTCCATGCAAGAAAGTGCTTCAGTAAGTAGATACATAAAAGTAATATGTATCCATTAGCAAAGTTAGGTTTACTAAAGAGTCATAGGTTAAAAAATCATAGAAGTTATTTTCACGTCATCTTATTCCTGAAATACAATATCAAAGGCCTGAGTTCATTTTATTAATAATATATAATATTCTGATTGTTTTTTGTTTAACTTATCAATGGTATTCAATATCCAAATCTGATCCAAGTTGAATTTGAAACGTCAAATAAATTTGATTTGAATTTCAATATTAACAGATCATGTTTGGATCTAGGTATATCCAATTTAATCCAGTCTGTCTGCAATCTTACATGATTTCTTCTATAAGGCTATTTTTTTGATAAATAAATAGAACCTTTTATTAATTTGGAATTTCTTCTATAAGGCTATTAGAGATCTGAAGACAAAGAAAAGCATTCAAGGGTCCACCATATTGACCAGAAGTGGCCTGAATATGTACCTGTAATCCAAGTTGAATTTGATCGATGTATAGGAAGGGGGTGTCCAAGAGAATTAATGAGGTGGTTTTGGGGGACAAAGGGAAAGGTTAGATGGAGAAATGGTGGTCTCAGTAAAATGATATTTGAACTCATCTCTGTAGTGGCAACATATGAATATGAAATAACAAAGGACATTAGTTGGAATGCACTAGAGCAGGGGAATCTCAAATTCAATTTTGATGGGTGCACCCTAGGGAATCCGGGAGCTTCAGGGATTGGGGTTGTGTAATCCGGGACCACAATGGAAGAGTTCTACTTAGCTTTTTTGGCCCCATTAGTGTTGGAAATTCTCTAAGGGCTGAGTCACATGCCTTGATTCAGGGGTTAAATTTGATGAGCATGAAATAGTGGCAGAATGGACCGTCCAGTGCTGAGTTGTAATCTGTATATATATTTTTTTCTTTTTTGATGTAATGAGAGCTATATGAGCTTGGACGCTGGTATTGTATTATCTTTGAACCACTTTGTGCAAGCTTTGTTTTCTTACAGTAAGGCAGTTCCAAGGAGAGGTCATCAACCTTTTTGTTTAACTATTAAAGGAATATCTTAATCTGACAGAAAATGTCGGATGTACTTCTTCCTTGATCAACTGACTGGGATAAAAAGCCATCACCCAATACTGGTCACAGCTTCTAGGGTCTTGGGAGTGGTGTCCCAGATATGGACCTAACTCTGGCAGTTTTTGGCATGAAGTGGCCACTCTCAGACTTTAGTTCATGTTCTCACACTTATCAGCTGAAGATTTGACCATCATACTAAGGAACAGCCCTTACGAACTTTCTTAGATGTTGACACAAATTTACTCATCCAACACTTGAATTTGAAACTGAATAGGCAGCTTTCGCTAACAAGATCCAATGACCCAGGCTGACAAACCTGAGATTATGGACTCTAATCCAACACATGTTCTTTGGATGCATTGTTCTATATATTGCATGTATGAGTGACTAATCACACTATCGACTCGTTAGTATTTTAATGTGAAGAGTACATGGGCCCAATGCATGCAAAATCCATTTTAATATTTGAACCCAATTTAGGAATATTTCACATTTTCTCATAACTGATGTGTATGTATTATCATTATAAGTGAAATGCATACGGATGCCACCCCTATAAACAAAACTTTACATGGTTAATGAGCTAGAACCATCAACCATATTCATGGGTTACAATATTTTCATCCAATATGTTCAACATTGAAGAAAAGCTCCTCCCAATGATTCATAAATTGTTCAAAAGCAAAACAATGAAACTTTTCAAAATGAGACTTCATTTGATCAACTTTCTCTTTATTCTCCCAGTTAAAGCATCTATGCATGGGCAAGTTTTGGTGTATCACCCACATTCTTTTAAATAGCTTAATGAAGTGATACCTAACTCCTAGAATTCCTTACAATTAGCTGTGTTTGGTTGCAGTGCAAATTTATTTGCACTAGTACAAATGCATGGGAGTGCAAATGTAAAAAATGCAATTTCTTGTTTAATTTTGTTTTGGATTTTACTTCATGCTTCTTCATGTCTTAATTTACTTCATTTGTACTGCAATCAAACAAAATAAGCTAAAATTTGAAACAAAAATAGGTCAGAGTTTACACTCAAATCATTTGCACTGCCATGGTTTTGCATCAGTGCAAATTTATTTGCATTGCAACCAAATACAGCCTAGCAACAGATGCGGTGCCAATTCTGCTTCCGACCAACAAAATCAATACATATTTTCCAACATTCAACTGCTTAATATCAAGTTATTAGTTGTGAGGATCTTGTCAAGCAACGTTGTCCATATAAAGAATGCTACCTTAGCCAAGGCTTGAGCATTCAGGATGACTCTCCAGGGAAAAAAGATTTTGACTTGGCCCTAGAAGGGTATCAAAGAGAGCTTACTGAAAAGACATCATCCTTTTCAAGCTTCCATGTTCTTACATCTCCCTTTTCAAATGTACACTTGAGCTGTTTAACCTTTCAAACAAATGTCAGTTATTCTGCCTCCCAGTCATTAGCTTTGACATATCACAAAACCTAATTAGCCACCACTTGATGACAGTCTTTAACTGTGACATACCTGATTGCTGCAAAATGTGAAACAAGTCTGAGTAGTCAAAAGAGAGTGGACCATCTCCAAACTGTGGTACACATTTTCTGGGGAATAGAGACTTGGCAAATCCTATATACATTACAACTCATTAGTTCACATCACTCACAGTTTGTTTTCCTAGTGATCACATGTCTTCTTCAGTACAGTGATGCAATATTCACTGAGAAATACCAAGTGGTAGTCCCATTCCAGCACTCCTGTTTGTGGTCCTGTACCATACCTAGCAGATTTTCAGATCTGGACAAACTAGGTTTATCTTGGATTCCTATGATCAGATTGTGTGGATTAGATTTTAGGGATAAAGCAAATTTGATGTAAGACAGCCTAGAAGTAAAAAAAAAAAAATTCTTTATGAATGTTATGGAAAGCACTAAAACTCAAAGTAATCATAAAAAGAACAGTAGAGTGATTGTACCCATGCTTTGCTGCAATTAACTGCTTCCACAATGCATTTGCTTTTTTACCAAAACCCCACAAAAATTCTCCAAGCAATGCTTGGTCGTGAATATCTGAATAGGAYGAACCGGCCCCCGTGGATATCTTTGCTTCGGAACAAAACAATTAGAATAATGCTTGGTCAACTGGAATGTGTATTATCCATATAGGAGATCTTCCAATTGAGAAGATCCATCGACCTGAGACGAAGAGAAAGGTCTATCTATTTT